GACCTTTTATCGCCCTCTCATGGCTGTTTTTGGCACCTACAACCAAAATAAAACCACAAATCTCCATCATATGAAAATAATTCATAACTGAACTACAGTGATTCAGTTCTGTTCACATGGAGCAGATTTACTTTGAGTGCAGCACTATTTAATATCAAAGACCACAAATATAATGGAAGCAGAATTTATTTCAAAAAACAAATTCTGCACTTTAAAGATAAAATGATGTTTGTAAATACTGTATTTCTGCAGATTACAAAACGCGTGCACACACCTGCCAAAAGTTGTCCTTGCATGCTTATTGAAACAGTTTTATATATTACTCAATATGAGCTGTTTTAATGCATCTAATCCAAACATTTCAACATTAGAAATTCAATTCATCCCAGACCAACTCCAAACAGAACACGTCTATGAAAAGTGGATTCCTGCAGAGTTGAACGCGTGCAGCAACCTGAGGATGAAGAAACACACATGTTAAAACATGCTGCGTTATTTTAAAGAATAATTTAGGAGTTCAGGCACAAATCGTACATCATGAAGTCGTCGATGTCCATGGAGCGGGCCCTCTTTTCACTGAAGCCAGCCTCCTGCAGAACGCTCTCGATTTTCTTGCTGATGCTGAAGTCGGCTGGAACGTCCTGCAGAGATGGAGGGAGACGTTTTTGGATTAAAACCAACCAGTTGGTGAAATAAAAAGCAGCGTTTAGCAGGAATTTATTGGATTGACAGACTCATTTCCTCACCACGCTGTGGACAGAGCAGTGAATCTTGTAGTTTTTCTCCAGCAGCTGCTCCACTGCAGCAGACCTGGAAATGAAAAATATAAATTTAGACAGTTTGTTTTGACAGAACGGTCCTGGTTTTGTATTTGAAGCAGACAGAATCTCACTTAAAAGCCGCGCTGAGGGTTTTGTTTTTTCGTACGAAGGCGATTCGGACCAAACCATCCCACTCCTGGATTTAAAAAAATAAAAATAAAGATTAGGATGAGGTGTTTTAAAAAAAAGATTCACCATCAGAAGATAAAACTCACCTGGAAGTTAACTGGAGGAGGAGGGTTCTTCGGTTCTATCCTCACTACACTTGACTCAACTTTAGGAGGAGGGCGGAAATTATTCTTCCCCACCTGGAACAGAGACAAGCTCAGCATCAAACCCAGGTCCCGGGACACACAGTCTACCTTCTTCTGCGARTCTGCCAACGTCTCCGAGCACCTTCATGAGGTGGTCGACACGAGCCAGCAGCTGCGTGTTGATGGACAGCCTGCAGTACAGCTTGTCTCCGGGTTTGGCAACCAGCCGCATGGCGAACTCCCTCTGGAACATCAGCACAGCACATCTGGATAAAACCAAAACACAAGGTGGCCATTTAACCCTGAACACGTTAAAAACAACTGTATGTCCTCAGCGGCCACGTCTAACCTGAAGAAGGGTCGGTGCAGCAGGAGYTTGAAGACAAACGGTGAAGAAATCTGCACGATTAAAAGAAAAATAAGTTAAAATAAAATAACGTTCAATCGCCTATATGGAGATAAAGTGTTTACCTGGTAAGGCAGATTAGCTACGCAGAGATCAAAGAAAGGCAGGTCTGTTTTTAAAACATCACCAACTAATATCTGAAGTTTAGTCTGCAAAGGTCTGTTAAGAGAAACAATTTGCCGCAATAAATTTAATCTGCAGTTTGTTTGTTTTTACTGTTAAATAAAACAGGTTATTTAGGAACACGTGTTGCCAGCCTCACTCACGTGCACTGTACTCTTTTCTGCAGCTCAGCCACTAGTCTGCCGTCCAGCTCACAGGCCACAACCTGCAAAAAACAGAAAATTACTGCTTTATTCCAAAATGGTGCTGAATAAAACGCCAAAGCTTGTCCACGGAGGAAGACGTTTACAAGAAAACTCAGGTTAATATGCAGCACAGCAACAGTATGAGCTGTAATAATGGCCTTACTGTAGCTGGAGCGACTGAAGCAAAACTAGTCTGAAACTCACCTTCTTGGCTTTTYCCAGCAGCTTTACAGTCATGTTACCAGTACCAGGTCCAACCTCCAGAACCACATCTGTGGGCCTCAGAGCAGCCTGAGAAGAGAGGACGCACATCAGCTTGTGTTTAGTTATAATCTGTTAAAAGGTTCAGCTCAAATGGAGACACTCTTTTCTTCACCCACTCTGTGTGATTCTCTTAAGACAAGTGTTTTATCATATTTATTACAGAGCTACACCTTGAACGTGTTACTTACACATTAATACTCATGTCAATATTTTAATAGGGATGCACCGATGCCAGTTTTTCTCAGATTGAGTAGGACTTCTTCAGTTTGGGTACTCGCCGRTACCGAGTACTTACTGGGTTAGAACTTAAATATTACACAGTGACTATTAAAACACGTTTTTAAAATTAGAACCTGTTACTAAATCAGATACATATCTGGTGTTTGTCAAAGCGAACCTCCGTCTAAACGGCAGTGTTGCTTTTTATCATTTCCATCAGAGAGGTGGGGGTGTGCAGATCGATCAAAGCSATAACGATCCCAACGTCGAGTCATTCATTTTAAATCTAGCAGCTCCACACGTCTTCAGAACAGGACAGAAGTCCAATTGCTTCGTCTTTTTTCTTTGAACTGTCCAGGTCTCGGATGACTGTGAATCCACAGAAACATATGACTGATTGAATATGATGAACTGATATTTTAGTGCAGTACGCTTCACCGGAGCAGCCGACCAGAGGCAGGTTCAAATGTAAACAGTGAACTGAACAAGCATGTCAGATAATTATTTACCCGGCCCTGATTGAACTGCAGAATCGACATGCTAACATGTAGCATCCACGGGTTTCCTCCTGTAAACAATGAGCAGAAAGTGACGTCCTGTCATTTCCTGCTCACGTGTCACATTGRTGCATGAAGTGTTCACACTGGGGTCTAATGGAGGTYGCATTTAAAATGTGAATGTCCACGCAAAATAAATGGTATTGGTGAATTTTGAACAAGTACGATTACTTGTAAAAATGTTGGTATTGGGCCTGATACCAATACAGTGCATCAGTCATTGCATCCCTAATACTTGACAAACCAAACACATGAACTCATCCCACCTTCTCAATGATTGCGTTGACGATCAGAGGGTTCTTCAGGATGTGTTGACCAACTCCAGTGTTGAACATGATCCCTAAAAAAACAAAACAAAACGRCAAACTGAGCTCTGATGATGTGTAAACGAGGCACTGCAGAGTAGGGCTGCCACGATTAGTCACCTAGTCACGATTAATGTCGACTATTAAAATCGCAGACTAATTTAATAGTTGATGTGTTTTTTTTTTATATAACTTTGTTTTTCTCTCCAAACTGCTGCGGCACCTTCCACTGCCACATCTGCCTTTCTGTCCTGGACACACACATGCGCGGTAGAGTGGTAATTAGGGCTGCTACAAACGATTCTTTTTATAATCGACTATAAAAAAAAAATACAAAGTTAGAAAAAAATACACATTGAGTATTAAATTAGTGGTTGACAATTTTAGTAGTTGACATAATTGTGACTAGTCGACTAATCGTGGCAGCCCTACTGCAGAGGAACAATTATTGCTAAATAAACCAAAAACAATTTTACTTTGTGAGTAAAAGGTTTCTCTCTGGTGTTGTAGTTTGATAAATTCAGAGGTGACTAAAGGGGCATATATATATATATATATATATATTCTGCTGCATTTCATTTTATATGTGTTTTGTATTTTGTATTGTATAATAGAATTTATTTAGCTCTTTTTAAATCAATGAATAACATTAATAAACAATAAACTAAGTACATTTACTTTGTTACAGTAATTGTTTTGAGAATTTGAAATGTAACCACGTATGTTTTAATCATTACTTTTATTTTGTTCCATTGAAAACATAAAAAATCATACTTGAACTACATGAAGAGTTGTTATACACTCAAAAAGTGAAATGTTGAATTTACTTAACCAAGTTATGTCAACTTATTGCACTAAAAAGTTGACTAAAGCAATAACAATAGCAACTCTGTTTAGAGCAACCAGCTTGGACAAGTATATTCAATACTATGGGTGTGTACAAGTACTTTGTTTATTGTGAGCAGTTTTATGACTTTTATTGTTTTTCTTATTAGTAAAATTTATTTTTACCAAAGCAGTTTTCTGTTAAGGTACTTTTACTTAGTTGTTTCTTTTAAAGTACAATATGCCTCTCTGGTTACAATGGACACAGTCTAAAATCTGACTTTAAATTTTAAGCTTAATAAACCTGACGTGAGATTTGCATTACATACCTACTCAAAGATAGAGGTTGACTGGGAAAAGAAATACTAAACTTATTTTTCAGGGGTTGCCTACGACAGTCATCCATATCACATCCTCTCAAACTGCATCTTTGACTTTCCTGTTTATTTATCCTGGCAGCTGCATCTTTAACATCCTCCCATGACTGTCCCTCTCTGGTTTCCACCTCYGCTCTGTCCCAAACCTGCAAATAAACACTCAACTACGCCCAACATGGCAGCTATATTTATTTCTCCCTAGTTTGGTTTAGACCTCACTGTCAAAATGTTACAATAACTCTGTGTTGCCTTTACGATAAATATTTAAAGCTCTAATTGTAACAGAAGAGTCAGTATTTTTATTTTAGCTAATGTTTGCTAACATGCTAAAGCTAGCCGGCTCCTCGGTGAAACAAACCTTGACTCTTGACATCCTGGTGCTGCCTGCTCTTCTTTTCCGCCTTCACTTTCGGCATTTCCCCGCTTGTTTTCTTCTAAATTAAAAGCCAAAAAACCCTAAATCTGCAACAAATATTCAGAGTAGAGTCGAACAAATTAGACAAACACGTGTTAAAGTTCTTCTTCTCTGACATTTCTAAATGTTCTCTCAGTGCTGCCCTCTAGTGGAACAAGGCGTAACTTGCATTTTTTTTAAACAAATCAAACAAACAAAAACATCAATCAGCTTTACAGATAAAGGGTATTTATTAGACAATACAAGACAGGATCTTTTATACAAATGAAATAAAATGACTTTTAGTCTCTAGTCAGAAATAGGAAACTCTTCCAGCGTCATAGCGATGTCTCGAAGTTTAGGATCATCCAGCCAGTTGACTTTACAAGCCAACAGGATGCCCTGAAGAGGAACACAGACATTTATAAACTACAAATGCAAACCTTGGTGAAGAAATGAACAGTTTATAAAACAYGTTGTGTGTGTTTTACCCTGAGAACATTCTGTGTCATGATGGCCATCTTTTTATACTTCTCCAGATTCTCCTGGCCTTTCTCCAACACAGCTTTGTATTTTTCTGCGTCTGCGTGCTCCTTCTTCGACGTTAGTTCTTCCATCTCTTTCATCTTCTCATGTGTGAGTCGTTTCATATCTACACATACACACACATAAACCACCAGCCTAATCAGAGCCTAACTTCAATTCCAGCATTAAACTCACTCCAGTGCAAAAAGTCAGAGAACTCTGTCAAAACCATCAACTACAAGAAGAAAAACAGTCAACACACCAAGTCTGCTCTTCTGTATTTCTGTAATTTCGTCTTGCAGACATCTCGTTTCCTGTGGCAAAACAAAAAAAGTATTATTTTTATGGAAACAGCGAGGTAATACTTCAGCATGTCCCCGTCACTATTTTCTGCAGAACAATGACAAAAAGTGTTGCTTGACACGTTATCATCACAATGTATGTGACATCTCCATCAAAGCAGCTGTTAACACTCCCACTCATWCATACAGAGTCTGCCTCTCCAATCAGACACAGCTTTTAGCAGAATGTCAATAAAGGTTTGGTGACTCACATGTAAACAAATACACTTACTCTACAGCAGTGGTTCCCAAACTTTTTTTCTTCTGACCCACAAAATATTCATGACAAAAACTTGTGACCCCAAATATTACTGGTCTGAGTACATGAACTTCGTTAATAACCCTACAAGCACAGGCTTTTTAACAATCTAAACAGTTTGTACACAAATATAAATACTTATTTATACATTTTTGTGTTTTTGCAATAGTTATAGGGAAAATATTACATCAGCAATTATTTTATTACCCTTTAAATTTATTCATGGAGATTATCCAAGGTGCTTTATGACCCATAATTGGGTCCCAAGCCCAACTTTGGGAACCAAAGTGCAGTGGTTCCCAAACTTTTCAGCTTTTGACCCACAAAATAACAGTAGCAGAGACCTGTGCCCCCAACTATTTTTGGATGATAAACATTTGTATCAGGTCAACTAAACACGGGCATAGTAACAATGGGCCTCATGMAAGAACCGTTCGTACGCACAGATTTGTTCTTAAGTTGTGCGTACGAGTGATTTAGGAGAATTTGTGGCATTCACCAATGTTTTCGTATTCTAAGAATTTTTTCAGATACGAACAAAATTYACGAGTGGTCCAGACCTGTCGTATATTTTACGAACAGCCAGTCTGCTGTTATCCAGATGGGTTTTCTTCACTAATAACTTTATATTTCGTTAGTTTGAAGATATTTTGAGTTGAAAATAAATTACACTCCGTAATTATGTTGACAATAGGCTATTCTGCTTGAATTAGAGTTATAATTTTAAATGTAATAATTTAGACTAACAATTAATTGTTATTAATCAGAGAGCAGAATCATTTAAACCATGGAGGAAAAGAGGTCTTACTTCCTGAAGTTCTTTTATCCGTGAGCACAGAGCCATGCAGCGATCACTCACAGCTCTCAGGGCACTGAGAACAACAGATGTTTTATTCAGTCTGTTGTCAAAATCAGTTAAAAAAARAAARGGCTGACAGTAGTTATGAGCTGACTCACTCTGCTTCTGGGTCGCTCTGCATCATCTTCTCTCCTAAAGAGTGCCACGTCTGCATTCTGAAAGATACAAGGTGTAYGGATGTTTGCTTCAGTCGTACTGGACTATAAATTTAATCTATAGATTTGAACAGCAATTTTTTACCTGTGCAGTGCCAACGTGCTGTTGAAATGAGCCGTTTTTACCCGTTCAAGCTCACTGATGTAGTCTGGCCTGCAACATTTCAAGTTACATTACGAGTTAGCAGTGAGATTTTTTTTGAATGTACTTATTAAATTTTGTTAACAACTTTTCAAAGCTCACAAGTTTCTCTCTGCTTCTGATGCACTGCAGGTCTTTTTACCTTTTCCTGTAATTGAAAACATTAAATCAGTTCTCTGCAGACACATTTGTTAATGAAAACACTGTAGATGATCCAGTTATGCACCTGCACTGACATGCATCGCCATCTCAAAACACTGGTTGGACATCTGCTGTTTTATTCTGAAATAAAATAAAGAGTTACATTAATTATTTAACAATGGCTTTGGAACGTGGATCATAACAAATATGACATGTTAAAGATGAGGATGTGAACCTCAGCATGTCTGCAGGCGAAGCATCTTTCTGTGTGTTGGAGCTGTCAGGAGCAGGATCATCATTCAGCACCACAGTCTCCACCATGTGATTTAGACTCCCCATGTTGTCCGCAGCATCCATGTGTGCAGGGAGAAACCAACAGTTTATATAAAAATACCTGCGTTTAAAGCAAAGTACAGTACAACTCGTGTATTATGTGCATACATGGTCAAGTTGAAACGCAGTGCTGTACTTAAGTATAGAAGCCATGTCCCAATAATAAATAAATATTAAATAGCCCTACAGAGCGTGTCTGCATGTCTATAATCCTGTCAAACATTTAGCTAATGTTACCTTACCGCGGGTTCTTCCTGCGCAGCTGACAGTGACAGGCGTAAACAACTACCAAGTTAAAACATCCATCTTTTATAAAACATGTTTTTATCTACGACCCTTAATGKGAATGACACTACTAATACTGATGTGTTAAAATATCTTACCTTAAAAACAAGGCAAAATGTGATAAAAAACGAAGCAGATGGTCCACTTATTTGATGCTGTCAAGCTARCGCTAACCTTTCGCGTTGACAGTATTGTTGCGATAATCACTTTCTACAACTATTTATTAAAAWCGCATTAAATATTTTTTACGTAAGCTTTTGGTTGTAATGAATTCTGCATTGTTTACGAGTTTATCGCCGCTTTTGTCCATTTTCTCACTGCAGTAAATGGGTCGCAGAACATGTTTACGTAACGTGTCTTTGCTGTAACTCGGACGTGAGAATATTGAGAATGTAAATACTTTATTTTCTATTTCCAAACCAACTCTACCATTAGTTTTGACTCTTCGCTGTTATAAAAATAGATGTGCGTTGCTAACGCGAAACGTAAATATGGTACTTTTTCCTCATTTTACTCTTCCTGGGACTTAAAAAAACCAAAATTCCGATGTTTATTGAACGTACCATTTCTGTTTCGATCCCGCCAGGAAGTGACGAAATGTTTTTGTTTTTTCGATGTCATCTAAGAGGTAGCGACGCCCTCTATCGGCCAATAAGAGGAACCACACGTCTGGTCTGGAAGCCAGGCGTTTACAAAAACTGAAAAAAGTCAATATTGATTTAGAAACATGTTTGTTAAAAAACATAAATTGTAGGATTATTCTACAAGTAAGTTGATCAATAAACATACTTGTTTATATTAACTTCTCACAGCTGATACTTTGTACGGGGTTAGGGAAGTGGCTACGGTTTGCTGGGTGTGAAAGGTCAGGTGTGTTCACATTTGTCACTTTAGGGCAACATTTTCAGGAGTAAGAGCATCTGTAAGTCTTTAAACAAAGAGGTTCCACTGAGATTTGAACTCAGATCACTGGATTCAAAGTCCAGAGTGCTAACCATTACACCATGGAACCACAGACAAAACATCACAGATACTGGCCATGTTTTGCCAAGATACGCTGCATAGTGACACCCACTGTCCTGATTCTAGGTTTCAGTAAGAATYCAAATAAATAGGAATAGTAAATTAATTTATAGAGTGATAGCAGGTTCTTTTAAATGTGCGTATATTCACAAGTTAGTTTCTTCATTGTCTGAAATTAGTTTGCAGCTCTTCTGTAAAGAATGCATTAATAATTATAATAGCTATTTTTTATTTATTAAATCCTGATAATGTCAGCAGGAAACGTTGAGCACATTGTGTAAATGTTACYATGGTTTTGTTTAAACACCATGTTACATCTTGTTTGCACTGGCAGTGTCTTTGTGCACAGAGCTCCTGTAGACCAGTGTTTCCCAAAGTTGGGGTCGGGACCCAAAGTGGGGTCCCGAAACGTCAAGGTGGGGTCCTRAAAAGATTTTCTGAATTAMTTACATTTTTGCCTTAGTTGTTACAAATGAGTGAGGTTAGTGTATTTAAAATGGATAAATGTAATATAAAAATATTGTTACTATGCCCATGTTTAGTTGACCTGATACAAATGTTTATCATCCAAAAATAGTTGGGGGCTCAGGTCTCTGCTACTGAAAAAGCTGAAARGTTTGGGAACCACTGCACTTTGGTTCCCAAAGTTGGGCTTGGKACCCAATTATGGGTCATGAAGCACCTTGGATAATCTCCAGAAATCAATTTAAAGGSTAATAAAATAATTGCTGATGTAATATATTCCCTATAATTATTACAAAAACACAAAATAAGTAAAAATAAGTATTTATATTTGTGTATAAGCTGCTTAGATTGTCAAAAAGCCTGTGTTTTTAGGGTTATTAACGAAGTTTGTGTTCTCAGACCAGTAATATTTGGGGTCACAAGTTTTTGCCATGGATATTTTGTGGGTCAGAAGACAAAAAGTTTGGGAACCACTGCTGTAGACTRTCATTTAAAGGTATGCTTTAATGTACAGAGGACAGGTCAACCGATCTAAAATGACCACAGTCCATGTCAGCATAACCAGATATTTAAAAAATACACGCAGATTTAAAAATGGGGCGTTAAAAATTGGGACATTAGCTAAACATAAATATKAAATATTTTTAAATCAGTATACTGACTAATAAAAGCTCAATGGCTGATACTCAGCGATGCAAATAACACAGCTATGTCTTTGGAGGTTTTATTTTGTGATTTTATTTAATAAAAGTTTTAAAAAGTCACAGTTCGATTTGACCAGAGATCAAAACTTTCAGGTTAGATTTAGATATCAACCTAAATTTGATCCTAAATGTGTGTAAAAGTAATTTATAAACCTGTATGGTCGTCTTCTATTCAGATAAAGCAGTTTGGACAGTTATCTTTATTAAATGATAAGCACCAGTGGCTGTTAAGACTGTTTATCTGTGATTTTAATGCCTTCTGGGATTAGAGTAAATACAGAAATAACTGGGACCGTGTCAGCCCCTACAAAAATCCTGGATTTAATGGAACACGTCAGCGCGTCTTTACGTGCTCTGCCGAGATTCTGACGTTGCGTTCAAATACACTCAGAACAGCACACTATCAAACAGTCTTTTGCCTTCTTTCTAATCTTTAAACCTGATAATGTATTCGCCTTACTATAAATCTTTTTACGTTTTTAAATCACAGCCTATGCGTAGTTTATGCTTGAATTAATAACTTTGTAGAATTACGAGTATGTACTTTGGATTAGGAAAAGATGCAAACGGCTTAAAGAAATCCCACATTTTCGAAGCACCTGAAGGCATTATATTTATGTGTTTTTCTTTTTGCGGTGGTGTTGGATAAACGAGGAATAACACGGACATGTTGCTAGTTTAAACGATGCTAACCTTTCCGACGTAYCGCAGTTTGACACCGCAGTGTGTCTCACTTGTGTGTGTCCTCGGTTTGCCGTGTTTCAACGATGTACGCTGCGATTTCGGCATCCCGCAGGCAGCACTTTTTTACGACCCGAAGAGAGGAGGAGTGGAGCGGAGAGATCGAGAATAACGGAGCGGAGCCGACAAGCGGGTCGACCGTTGTTGGACTGGTGATAAATCCTCGGCCGAAATGTCCTTCACCATGGAAGATAATTTGGAGTCGGGATGGGTAGCAGTTCGGCCGAACGCGTTTGAGGAAAAGGAAAAACATAAGTTTGTTTTTATCGTGGCCTGGAATGAAGTTGAGGGTAAATTTGCAGTTACGTGTCACGACAGGACGGTCCAGAGGAGAAGCTTCGGCAGAGACCCTCCGGCCGAGCTGACGACGAGCCTGGRTGAGGACGGAGACAAAACAAAATGGCCCGAAAGTCCGGTCAGGGATAATAAAGTATCCCGGAGCCCAGGCAAAGCAGGATGCAGCCCGAAAACCAAGTCCGCATCAAAACTAAGTCCTGTCAAAACGCAGACAGCATTTAAACCCGTCCACCCTGCAGAGACCGAGCTGGTTTCAGGTGAGGACCAGCCGTTCCCTTCTCTGGACTCCCTGGACCTGCAGGAGCTGGACAGCCTGAGCAGGGAGGACTGCAGCTGGGCCGGGCTCTTCTCCTTTCAGGACCTCCGGGCGGTCCACCAGCAGCTGTGCTCGGTCAACTCGGCCCTGGAGCCCTTCCTGCCGGTGTTTCCGGAGGAACCGGCCGGCGTGTGGACAGTTCTGTTCGGCCCGGCGGAAGTGTCCGAGACGGAGATGGACGAGCTGTGCCACGACCTGCAGGTGTACCTCGGTCACGCGCTCGACACCTGCGGGTGGAAGATCCTGTCCCAGGTTCTGTTCACGGAGAACGAAGACCCGGATGAGTACTACGAGAGCCTGAGCGAACTCAGGCAGTCCGGCTACGAAGAGGCGATGAACCGGGCAACGAAACACCTGCAGCAGGTGAGACCAGTGGCAGGTCTGGGATTTTTCTGTGTAATAGGCCATCAAGTGGCCTCAATATTCATAGAGGGGCCAAGTATTTGTTCAGCATCCTTGCACACAAATCCCTGGTTTTGGTAAGGTGTATATACTGTATTTAAACAGTCGCACGTTTAAACACTTGTAATTTTAATAAAAGCTTGCACAGTACATTCCCCTTACCCATTTCACATGCATTTTTACAGAACATAGATAAAATGTTCTCAAACACAGCATGTGAGAGAATCCAGCCATCATCTGTGAGTTGAAATACTTTTTTCTGCAGGGTTGTTCAAATTTTAACAAAAAATACTTCTGTCAGCTTTATTCATGTAGGACTTTTCTATTGGCCTCATTGGCGCCTCTAGTGTTTGGACATGGAACTGCACCCAGCATCATGGCTCTTGGTGCAAAGGACAGATGAGTGACAGGACAGGGGCGCTTCAGGGGGCCAATCAAAGTTCAGCAGGGGCCAGTGCCCCTGTGGCCCCGCCCCTAGAACCTCCCCTGGGTGAGATAATGACTGAAACTTTAGGTAGTAGCTGATCCTCAGCACATGAGCACAGATTGTACACTTATTTTAACGTGATGTAGTTAACTATTTGGACTAAATTCTGTCTGTCTGTTAGCAAAATATCACTTGGACAAATTTGAATTAAACTCAGAAAATAATCCCGAGATAAACAGTTTCTACTGAGTTGCTCCAGTTTGCCACAGCTAATAGACTTTAACTAACACAGTCAGTTTAATAGATACTGAGCTACAATTTAATGTGGTTTTAACTTAAAGTCAATCATAAC